GAGGGTTCTATCTGCATGATCATACATGACGTCCCTAAGATCATCAACATGTACGACGACATTCAAGGCTTCACAAGTACCCGGAGAGGACTCTCTCGGTTGCCACACACTTGGTTCAGATCGCGATGGTCCGGTTCGTCAGCTCCTGCCATCGCTGCCCTCCCCACCTTCCGGCCGTTACCTTGCTTCCGAGGCTGATGTGAGCTCTCTAGAGATACGCATCGTGATGTTGGTCTTTTGGTAGGACGTTAAGCAGTTCATTGGTACATGTTTGGACCCGGCCGGCAACGGTGACATCTTGTCTGCGATTACGGTGAGCGATGGAAAGACCCTCCGAGACACGTTTAACGTTGAGGTAAGGTTTAATACGAATCTTCTCCCGCATCGGGAGTGGTATCAGAGTTTACCACGTGATTAGCGTGTGCATATGGAAACTCAAAATGTGACATGAGTTTCATATAGGACCGAATCAAGACCGAATTCGACAAGATAACCGCATCGGTGGGCGCGAGTATAAACGATCCTAGTCTTGACATCGCCAATCTGCCAGCATTCAAGGTGGGTGTGCCTCTCCACACTCGGCATCATCGAAATCGTGGATTCAGGATCTCCTTAATGCGATCGATGCAGTCGGAGACTTGTATGTGTTGGACCCAGATAGAGCCATCGCGCTGCAGTCAGATGCCAACTACCAATGGGATGGTGTAAGCGGCCCAGTTCCACATATGAATTCGCGATTATGCCTTGGGGCTCCCACGTCTCCCATGCCTCCGCTCGTGTGGACTGTAGGAAGACCTTGATTTTTCAGTCTGCTCCGCCGACTCCATCAGCTGGAGCCGCCATCCTGGAAGCCGGCTTTGCTGGTGTGGCGGAATGTTCCAACAGGACCATTGATCTCTCCGCGTTGAGTCCACTATTCAGGGATCCATTGGCCTTCCTCGATGGTAGGGGAATCTCTCGGAAGCCTTTGAGAAAAGCCTAGTCTAGGTAAAACGCTCATCGGAGTTGACGAGTACATCACGACTTTGGGAAGCAACGGTGTCAATCTTGGGACTGCCACTGGGGTATTACCATCTTTCCCCCGATTGCTTCGATCACGTTATGTTTGTTTTCCCAGTGTGCAACTTTCAAGACCACTGGAGCTACTCAAAACTTGGTGCCATGGGGCAATCTATTGAATCTACTCAAACCTGTAGGCTAGTTACTTCTACAGTGTGTTGGGCCGAGACTCCGTACTAGGTCATGATCAAGACCGACTTCTACTGTACCGGATATCTGATATCTGAAACCGCTGATCTCAAATTCCTCACCTCTCCGGATGTCCCACGGATCTGCGACTACAACCAATGGCAACAGTTCATCAGAGATTTCAAGGCTGACTTGCTGGCCAACGCTTTGTGAGAAGATGCGCTTCGCTATGAGCCTTTGATTTGTCATGTAATGCATGTGGTGGATACTGAACGCGTTGCGTCC